GTTGAAATGTGTTTTGGGGGATAAAGTTCATTTTCTACGCAAATATTGACTTTGCAATTAATGGCTGTTACGCTAATCACTCTTTATAACATTCTGGAGTATATGCAAATTGCCATTATAAAAACTGAAGCAGTAGACTTTGTAAATATTAACATTTGAATCATTCTCAAAACTTTTGGCCATGACTGTACAGTATTTTTTTGGGCCTTTTTACATTTTTTCTTTGACTTTTGATTTCTTTAACACAGATCTGAAAGAAAGCCGTCCTGCATGGCATAATTACTATCTTGTGCACTCATACCCAGTGCTGCACCTCTAGTCACATGGTCTTGTTATGATCTATATACATATCTATCTCTACATCTAGCTATACATAGATATACACACACATACATCTATATATATATCCATCTATCTATAAATATTTGATGAAATGTTTTAGTTTTCTAACAAAGAGCTAAACTCTGCAGACTATCTCTGTGTTAAACAGAGAAATAAAGGATTATAAGCAATGTTGGGACTAACGCCCAAGTAAAGCATTATAGTCACTACATTTTACATTAAAAAGTACTGTAAAGAAATACTGTAAAACAACCCGACATGTTAAGTCATTACAACGCTTTAAACACATTTGTTATTCGTTACTTTATGTGTATAGATATGGACTACAGTTTGCTGGTCTAAGCACACGTCGGCAACATGCACATGTAAACGCAGGCTTGCCTTGAACACAGAGGAGAGACGATGGAGCATCATCTTTGAGCAGCTGTACCGGTCTGTAGTGGTAAAGAGAGCTGAGCCAAAAAGCCAAGCTCTTGATTTACCGGTCAATTTACGTTCCTACTCTCATCTATTGTCATGAGCTTTGGGTTGTGACTGAAAGAACGAGATCCTGGACACAAACGGCTGAAATGAGTTTTCTCCATAATGTGTCTGGGCTCTCCCTTAGAGATAGGGTGAGGAGCTCAGTCATCCAGGGACGACTAAGAGTAGAACCGCTGCTCCTCCACGTCAAGAGGGGCCAGTTGAGGTGGCTTGGGCATCTGGTTAGGATGCCTCCTGGACGTCTCCCTGGTGAGGTGTTCCAGGCACGTCCCAGGGGGAGACCGAGGACAAGCTGGAGGGACAATGTTTCTTGGCTGGCCTGGGAGCGCCTTAGGATTCCACTGGAGGAGCCGGCCCAAGTGGCTGGGGAGAGGGATGTCTGGGCCTCCCTACTGAAGCTGCTACCCCTGCGACCTGACCCCGGATAAGCGGAAGAAGATGGCTGCATGGATGGATGGCTAGCAAGTCAAACCACACATCAAAATAATGCGGATTAGTTTTCAATGTTTTCAGATATATATTACTTTTACTTGTTATTTAAAAATTAGAAAGTAACTAACTCAGTTACTTTCTGCAGAAGTAGCTAGTTTTTTTAAGTAACGTTCCCAACATTGAATATAAGCCAACAGGATGCCAAGCTTTTGTATGCCACCAGAGTAAGCCATTTGCATAGAAACCTGTAATGTCATAGTATTTGGCAAGGGTCCATTTAAGAAACCATCGGCAGATCCAAAAATAGACATATCTAATGTTCTTTTCTTTTCTAGAATCTTGAGAAAAGTAGTTGCTAATCAAGCAGGTGACCACTTTTGTTAATCTGATTATTATTCAGTCGCTACACCTGGAACTAACCCTAACCACCAAGTTTTTTGGTTATTTTTGCTCAGGACTCTAGTCTCATTTCTGAATTACAGCTAAACTTAGAGAGAACATGTCCAGGACTGACAGCGTGCATTTGCAACTTTAAGGCTGTGATATTGTAATTCTGTTGTTTTCCTCCAGCTTTTATTGTCATTACACTGTCATAAGTACAGAGAAACAAAATTCTCTCTCTGCATTTAACCCATCCCCTTGGGGAGCAGTGGGCTGCAATGGGAGCAGTGTGGGGTTAAGGGTCTTTTTGCTCAGGGAACTAGAGTGGCATTCTGTAGGAGTGGGCATTGAACTCAGAGCCCTATTTCCCTACCACTAGGCTGTCACTCCTCCGATTCCACCCCATTTTTTACTAACCAGCAAGTCCACTAAATGCAGTTAAGTCTTTAGCTAATCTAAAATTCTGCAGCCCGAGCTCTGATCAAAATTACAAATATATTTCTCCAATAAAGGTATAGTGGACGATGTTCCATTTCCAGGTGGATCATCTAAGTGGTCCTCCTTATGGTCAGTCATTCTGCTTATGTGTTTACATAAGTCCATCCTTTGTGCTTGTCCTCAGTTAGCTATCTTTTTCTGTGCATGCACACTTTTATGTGGTGAGCTACAGTTTCAGTCATTTAAGCTCTGCTTTCTCACCGCGGTTCTTTGAAAATGGCAGAGGGTCGCAAGGGGAAAAGTTTCTATGAAGTGTATGAGAAGAAGAGAAAGTCCTCAGAAGAGAGAAACAAGACCAGAGTGTTTTTGGGAGATTCTTTTATGAGATGGCGTAGACTGAAAGCACAGGTTGGGCTTCCCACTGATGCCTCGGTTGCAAAGTTTCCACTCAACAGGTAAAGTTTGGCATGCTATTTGGAGAAATCCATGCCCGATCACTGCTAGTAAAGGTTATCTACCTCTATATTGTAACTTTCCAGGGAAGATAAGTTTATTTTGTAATTTGCATCGTTTGTAGTTATACTATGGCCACAGATTCTTATTTACCCTGTAAACATGTCCAAATACCAACTGCAGCACAAACACACACAAATATAAGCATGTCATGATTTTTTTTAATGTACCAGTAGTCTTATTTCCTGGGAAACTTTTTATATACAAATATGAGTGAGATGAGATCCATCCGAATGACCGCCTTATTATTGAGTACCCCAATATCCTCGAGGGGAAATAGGATATTGCATGCTTTCATACTCGTTTAATAGGCGTTCCCTCCCAGGGGCAGGTACAGGGTTGTGCATGTGCATTTTAATTTCTTTTTTTTAAGTGGAGGGCGGGTCTTTTAAAAAAAAAGAAATTGTGAAAATACTATACCTTTAATTGAGTTTCTGTTAAACCAATAATAGAATTTAAAACTCTCCTCATGTACAAAACTTTATATAACTAAGCTCCATCTAAAATCAAAGATCTGATTGTTCCTTATATTCATAACAGAGCAGTTCGGTGTTAACTAGTGGTTCCTAGAGTTTGAGTAAAATGGGAGGCAGATCATAGAGTTATTTTTTTTTCTCCAGCTTTCTATTCTCATTACACTTTCTCAAGTACAGAGCAACAAAATTAACTCTGTATTTAACCCATCCCCTTGAGCGGTGCCCGGGGAGCACTGTGGGGTTAAGAGTCTTTGCCCAGGGAGCCGGAGTGGCAGACTGTGGGAGGGGGGCTTGAACTTAGAACCTGTCTACTTTTAAGATGGAACAAATATCCAGTATTTAGGTAAACGGGTAAATCATTTTTGCAAAGAGCCAGAATGGTTTAGATTGCTTTTTTATGCAATAAATGCAGAATTAAAATAAACAAAAATAGAAAACAAAATCTTTAATTAGGCTAATATGACAGCAGTGTTTTAAACTGATAATCTAAAGCAAATTTGATGTTTGGAATCCGCTTTGGGTAATCTGTATGCTTTTTTCTCTCATTTCTGATTTAATTAAAAACAGACAAACAGCTATGAACTGACAGCTAATGACTCAGCCTTCGACCAGTTTGTGGTTCCTACTTTCCCCCCAACTTGAACACACCCTTTCCACAAAAACTGCATAAAAATATATTGGAACTTTATTTGCATTTTTATAGAGGGGAAAAAGACCAAATCTCCTGACATTCTTTGGCACCAGTTAATCTAACAAGCTATATTTTAAAGCTCAGCCTGTAACAGATGTGATTAGACCTTTTGGGTGTGGTCAGAGTTCGCATGCAATGATACCAAGAAAGATACAAGTCATCTAAAGCAAACAAGCTCCTATTTCCTATTCTTTTTATGAGTGGAAAAATTTTGAACTATTTAAATACTGGAGATGTCTTCAGTAAATATAAATTAAAACCTCTCATAGAAATGGCTGAATGTTAGAGTAGAGCAGTGACTCCTCTATGCGATGCTAAACCCAAAATCTTTAAAGCCAATTTATAGTTGACAATGTGAACTCAAGTCTTTCATTAGATTAATTAGAACTGAAGGTATCAAGCTATTCTAGTACAAGAAATTAAACCAGGGATGAAATTCTGCACTTGAAAAAATGCAATAAAAACAGTTGGATCTTGATTTTATCTGATAACTGGTAAATAAAATGACTGTTAAAAAATCTAAAGCTGTCTTTTGTAGTCTTTAGCTTTTAGGTGGCCTCAAACTCCAAAATCGGGGCAATTTTTGTGTGGTTCTGGGTAACAGACCACAGGTCTCAGCGGCAAGACTATCTGCTGCAGGATACACACTATAGCTGGAATAAAAGCTCTCATTTGTTTCCACTCTTACAAAGCTGCTCCTTTACACCAACTGTTTAAGCCTCCTTGTTTTAAGTGGATCCTTTGCAATATTCACACATCGTCTAAACTGAAACTTACACCAACTAATACACATCTGCCTCAGCAAGAGGTTTATATCATGGGATTTTCCAAGGAATTGACAAGTGTAAAACAATCAGGACAAAGTGGTGGTGTGCTGATAGAGGTTTATGAGCTTTTGGAAAAGAAGCAGGCATTGTGAGGTAGAAGGAGGTCTCATGCAGCACCGACATAAGCTCTACACACACACACACACACAATCTTTTAAAGCAATAATGTTGAACAAGCTAAGAGCAGCACTCCTGTTATCAAATGAGCATCTGATTTTTAACATTCATCTTCTCGATTTTGGAGCCTTGTTTAGACCCTACTGCTGGTCAGCTGTACAAACCACACAAGATCACAAAAAAATAGTTAGTCATTCCTTTATACTCTACAAGCTCAGCATCCCAGGAGGGCAAGTTACCTGATGTGAAAGCTATTGTCTTCATCACAGACCTGTAATTCAGTGGTTTGACGGATTATAACCCCACATAATCCTGGGTAGATTCCTAAATGTGGTGCTGCATGCTCCATGTTGTGTAACGAGTGCCTGGGACTTTGCATCAACAAATATATCATAGTATGAATCATGAATCATTTTCACTGACTCATGTCCAATGAAAGAAAATATGTTGCACTAATCAACAGGTCTCATTTAACAGGTTAGAACAGTGACGTATCTGATGCTGTCAGTAGCTTCTGGATACTTCAAAGTTCAGTATTATGTTTTTTCCCATGAAGATGCCTCACCTTTCATGAATGAACTCCTCCAGAGCAGCACACTCAGACACCAGCTGGGGACACTGGCAGCGCAGCGCCACAAAAGACAGGATAGGCAACAGGTCATCTGCTCCGCTGTCAGAGGGACAGAATAAACAGAGCAAAGGATGAAACTCATTCACATTTACAGTGCATTTTGGCACAAGCTCCCTTTGGGGACCAGATGAATAGAAAACCAACGCAGCTCTTAATGAGCTGTGTGTTGAGGGAAAAGCTATTTTCTAGATCTTCAGGGAGGAAAGCTGCACTTGGAAAGATGATGGCCAGATAGCCTTTTCTCAGTGTGCAGACAGCAACCCTTTGTTTATCATGACTCACACGCAGGGCTAACTACTGGTTTGCGTGATTGCGTGAGAAGGCAGGTTGGACCGACCCTGCTGCGTGCAACTGGATCCTCTTTTTCTGCAAGTGGTGGAAGGTGTGGACAAGCTCGTGTAACCAGTGAGAGCCAGAGCATCCAAATTCACACAATCCAACCCTGAATTATACAGCTCCCTCCAGTAAACATACATCTGACAGAAAAGGCTGCACCTCAGCATTCCAGGAACACAAAGCATACCAGCTCCATGAGGAAATCCTGAACCCAAGCAGCCCTCAGTTCCTCTTCTAACATAGCGGTTCATAGTTAGAATTAGATAATAGCGATGATTATGGAAAAACAAAGAGATGAAGAGAAATGAGCTAGAAAGAGATAAAGATTTGATTTTTAAAAACATTCATATCATACAATTATCTCAAATCAATAACCCATTCAAAATAATAGGAGCTATACATTTTTTAAACTAAACAAGATATCTTTATAGTTCTTTTTTCTTAAATAAATCCACTTCAATCATTTACAAATATTTATATTTCAGTATAATTCTTCCTATTAAAAGGCTGCGTACAATCTGTATCTTATCCATTAGTAGGCCTATGCACGTTAGTAGCGTATAGCTGGCTATAAAATACACATAATGCTGTGAAATGATGCTTTTAAGCAATACAAATAATAGTTAAATGTAACAGGGGTCTCACCATCCAGCCCACATTAATGGATAAGCTAGACTGCATCTCCAGTATGTTCATAAATTAAACAACTACTTATCATGCAAGTTATTTCCCCTTAAAACTGGAGAAAAGTTAATAATCTCAAACAGTTTTATAAAAATGGCCAAAAAGAAAAACAATGTTTATACCGATTTATATTGAAAAAGGGTAAAAACATAAATCTGTAGTTTAAAAAATTGGAGGAATGCAATGACGGAGTTAAATGTTTTAAAACTTTGACTGATTCATGTTTCCCGAACAAAAGCAAAAAAAGAAAAACACCCACATTATCCCAGTCAGTTTGTTTAGTTACCAAACTATTTACTTTAGGTCTTTTATAACACACACAGAAACCCTCCACTGACGTAATTCTCTGCAGAGGTTGATCCAGTTCGCCGCCTCTGATCTCCAATAAAAGGAGAACAGCTAGCTGGGCTGCAACCAAAACACTATTAGCAGATCACACAAACACCATGGAGAGCATTAATGAAGCAAAACTAAAATGTATTGTGAGGAAGAAGAGTGATGATGGCTTGTCTCTCTTCAGCCTGACATCCTGGCAATGTTTCTGTTCTCACATCAGTCCATCTGTTTATGGAACATTCAGCTTTGTTGATGTTCTAGAATAATGAGGATAAAAAAATAATTTGAGAAAAGTTTCTTCATTTTGGACCAAGTTTAGCGTTTAATATAAGCCTAGATGATAAATGGTGAGTGCTGCAGATCTACTGGGTCAGGTTGACCCAGGATTCTGGAAACCGCTGAAAACTTTTCTATTATCAGCATTTTTAGTTCAGCACTGTTTATGTTGCTCCCATCAAACCACCTGGGCGGACTCCTGCTTTGCTCTAAACTCAGACAGGACGACCTAGTTTAGGACCAAGCAAGTAAGAAGCGAACTGTAAGAGGGGTACAGACCCAGGACATCTCCTGCTGTGCAAAGGCTGAGTGAGCACTGATCTGACCCGACAGCACAGCTACCAGGGCAATGAATCCTTAAATTGGGTTCTGCACTTCCAGAGGATTTTTGAGACAGTCTTTCAGTCCAAATTATATGCATGAAGTAGTTGAGGAAATTAATTAGTTTGAAGTTTAATGAGGTTGACAGCAACATGTTTGTTTCCATGTTTAACTGGGCTGGCTGTAATCCATCAGAATCAAAGAGGTCTGCTGACCTGTCAACTCTTCAAACAATTCATGACTTACATGGCTGCTGTTCTGGGTGTCGGATCTCCTCCTTGAAGACACTTGTAATCCTCAGCACAGGCACAGATCAGGCGTAACGTCCGAACTGTGACACAAAGAAGCAAACATGACTAGTTGGATCTGTTCCGCTTCTGAAATGGACCAAACAGGAGCTGAATATGGCCGCCAGAAGGAAGCCCAATGAACATGACAGATATTCCTTAAGACAATTCACTAAAACAGTTAAAGATGGCGGAACCAGGAAGATTTTTTGAGGCCCTCAACAACTCAGCCTGTAACATGTGTTTTGGATTTGGTCTGCATCCTCAGTCAAAAAAAAAAAAAAAAAAAAAAAAGGTATTGTGAATTTTACTGAAACATCCAAATTAAACCTTAACAAAAGAAGGCCCCAGAAAAAGTACTTATATGACTTCCTTTTTAAATTCAGCCAAGATATTTAGTTTTGAGTTTGTTTTTTTGCCATTTTGTTATTTAATCTAAAATAGGGCAACAAAGATTCAGCAACTTTGCGTAAAAAAAACAACAAAAAAAATAAAACTTTGAGTCCCCATGTAGCTAATTAGTCTCAATCAAACAATATTGAGCATGTCCTATTCTTGTTGATAAAAATAAACCCAGAAAAATCCAGACCACGATGGCTGTCCAGAACACACTGTATCCTGCTTTTCTTTCCTTTTTAAATCAGGCAGATGTGGGACACCCTTATGTTATCGTCCATAATGACTTTAAGAACCTTTTTAAAATATTGTTGTATTCCATTATTGCCAAGCAAGTAAATAAAAACTAAATTTAATAAAAATAACTTCCTATTTCAACAGAAAGGCAATCTATTTTTTGGCCCACAAAGTACTTTTACTTCAAACGTTTGGCCCCCATTGCAAAACGTTTGGACACCCCAGGTTTCAAAAACATTCAGATTAAAGTCAGAATAACTTCTATTAGAAAAGTTTAACTCCATTTTTTTCGGTTTGCCTCCTTTTTTCCCCATCACTCTAGTTCCACCTCAGTGCGAGGTGGGGTCATCAACAGCAGGGCAACTCCCCAGTTAGAAATATACCGCTATCTGATTTGTAGCAACGCAAACAAAGGCTGCAGACCTCTGCTCTGTCTAAAGCTTTAATCATGCTCATGAAGAGGTGAGCTGAAGAAGACGAATGTCTCTGGATGAGAAGGAGAGTCAGGGGAGAGGGAGGCTATGGAGTGCCATCAAGCTGACTGTGGATGTAAGGCTAAGCTAATTTTACCAATGCTAGCCTGAAACAGTCGTCATACAAGCCTAATGAAAATGGATTTCAGGTTGAAGGCAGTTATATTTATTTTGCTGATTAATGACTCTGTGGCCTAGCCAATCAGAAAGAGGCTGTGTTTTGAGGGGAGGGGATGGATGTTATAGCGTCCATCTGCATGGATGACGGTAGAGAAAAACATGTGATGGAAATGCTCCCAATGCGGGTTAAGTGGAGCAAAGCTGCCCGAGTAGAGTCTGTCCAAAAATTGGCCCAAGTGAGGAAGATGCTGCAGCTTCGAAAAGGCTGGGCTCACTGAGGCTGACAGAGGAAGGGTGAGATTAAAGGGACCTAATGATATTCATAGGCTGACTGGGAGCTGGAAATTACCTACAGCAACAAACAGACAAGATCCTATGTTGGTCCACTGCTTATCTAACTATTTTCCTACTTCTTAGCTTTAAAGAAAACCAAAGGTCCCATCAACAGAACAACCTGGTTGCATGAGTTACATAACTATTCGTTCTGCTCTAACACTGGAAGCCTGGTTTTTATCTCTGCTCCAACACTGTTCTGGATCAGATCCTGCAGACAGGCTCCTTAAAATGCTGGAAAATATAAACGCTGGAGTTCCTGGCAGTTCCAATAGAATTCTCTACCAAATATTTGTGGTTGTATTGCATACAGTAATGCACTGATGTTTAAGGGATGGATTATATTATGCACAATCACCTACATCCAACCAATCACTGAGGGGAAAACATGTTGGCCTGTTTTGTTCTAGAATAAAATTTAAAAAAACTTTGAACTCAAACATGAATAAAAGCTGGATTCGAAGAAAAACAGGTGCTCGTCTATCTCCTCCAATAAATACATACAATCAGACATTAACTGGGTGGGGAGACCAAACCAGTCTCCACAAAAGCCAAGTTTATTCTAAAAGAACGTTCTTAAAGTTGAGGAAATCATTGGGGTTTATCTTACCTACACACTCCAGCTTCCTCTGAGGACAACAGTCCTGAACCAGGAGCTTCAGTTCCTGAACAGCAGACTCATAGGGGTAGGAACCTTTAAGAGCAAGGGGGTCCTGGGGAAACAGTTTTAGGGGAACACCGACATCTGCTGGAGAAGCACAGCAGAACAGCCTCATGTTCCTCTCGAAAAGCTGCTCTCTTTCTCTGTGGACTCTCCTGAAAGCACAAACAGAAGAAAGAAACTGGATCTCCACTGAAACTAAATGAACAGAGATCTCCCACAAAGAAAACACAAGTTAGAACTCATTTCATTTCCTTTACAGTGTGTTTTACTTTTTAACTAAAGTCCCACTATCTGCGGTCCAGCAGAAGACAGCAGAACATTTTTGTCCGCACTGGTGGCCTTAATTTGAAAGTGTTATGACAGTAAAGAAGGAATAAATTAAGATCTAATCATAGTTGGTGATGACTCCAACAAATGCTGAAGGTTCTCATTTTGAACACAAGGATGCAGAACATCTTGTATAAAATACCAGGGTACAAGATTTTAATTACAATTCTGAAATTATGGTAGATTCTAATCCACCATTTGCAGCTACATGTGCCCGAGTTCCCAGCGGATTCTGGGATTGGAGAGTAAAACGAAACTATAGCTCTCGCGAACAGGCAATTAATTGAGGCTCCACACAGACAACTGCAACCAGAGCCAACATGCAGCTCTTAACATACAACAAGCTCCTATAGAAAAGAGAGACCACCAAGATGAAAATAATAAACATTAAAGGAGAATTCCGGTTTTTAACACTTTTAGCCCATTTTCTGTAGTGTCCAGGATGAAATCGAATGATCGACACCAAAATTTTGACAATTGGTCCTGTCTCTGCTATTTGGCTCATGCAGAATCCCCCCCTGGCTGCTTCAGAATGGCTTCCATTGTGCATGTCCGATAATGTCCTTAAAACAACCTTAAACGTTCTTTTTTTAAAATATGCTACTCACCGGGTCGTCAGCGCTGTTCAATGACGTTCCAAAAAAAGTTTTGTGAAGAAAAACCGTTCCTGTCTTGTTTTATTTAGCATTTTGTAAATCCCAGAACTATTTTTTCCGATACATCACAACCGCTTATAAACTTCCGCTTCCCGTTCGAATCTGAAGCGTTGCACACTCCAGACCACTAGTTGGCGACAATGTCTCTATACTTTGGGAATGTATATGAATATGTCCTCCTCAAGAATCCACCTTTCGTATTCCATTTTCAGAGTTTTTTAAAGTGTTTAACAGACGTTAGCACCTCGACGTCGGAGTACACAGAGTGAAGCAGAAACACTTGGGCCTTGCGAAAAGACTACAACTGTGTAAACCGGCCCCATTTCCGTTTCCGGAGGGATATTGACTATTCCAAAAGAACTCAATGGGATTTACAAAATGCTAAATAAAACACTACAGGAACGTTTTTTCTTTACGAAACTTTTTTTGGAACGTCATTGAACAGCGCTGAAGACCCGGTGAGTAGCATATTTTAAAAAAAGAACGTTTAAGGTTGTTTTAAGGACATTATCGGACATGCACAATGGAAGCCATTCTGAAGCAGCCAGGGGGGGATTCTGCAAGAGCCAAAAAGCAGAGACAGGACCAATTGTCAAAATTTTGGTGTCGATCATTCGATTTCATCCTGGACACTACAGAAAATGGGCTAAAAGTGTTAAAAACCGGAATTCTCCTTTAAAGGCAAGCTAACATCAGCGTGAGATGAAGGGGTTAACAGAACCCTGAGGTTCTGCTGTCAGAGAGGTGCACTACCTAAAAAGAGCCAGCAGGGCGCTCCACAGAGGCGTAAAGAAGGCCTCCTCAATGCTGCCAAGACAAAGGTCTTTAAAGGTGGCCGTGTTCAAACAGTCAAAGGAAAGCAGACACAGGGAGAGCAGTTGATCTGGAAGAAAAATGTTATGATGAGCAATATGCCGAAACACTGAAACAATCAGAACGAGTCAGTACTTCGACTTGCTCACCGATTGCTATATGGATGTCTTTGACGATAGCTTTCAGGTGTTCTTTAAGTGCTCTCAGCTCCAGCTCTTCCAAGTGGCTTTCATCCAGCTCCATGGAGGGGTCACAGGTCACATCTGCATCCAGGCTGCTGATGGGAGAGGCCCAGTCCAACTGGGACAGGAACTGCTCCAGATCCTCAAAGGAGTTGTCCCGCTCCACTGCGACTTCTGCATCTACAACCTCATCATAGTTTGTGTGAACGTCATGAGAGCGCGAAGGGGAGAGCGAGGCATCGATGCTGAAGCTGTGGCTGCCAAAGCTTGGACTGGTGGTTCTGATCGGCTTCCTGTGACTCTCTGATCCGGCAGAAAGACAGAAACATGTAGGCTTACATTTAAACGGCAGATTTATGACACAGACCCGCTGATGGAGTCACTTTTAGACTAAACCAACTGTTCCCTTACTGCTGCTTTCTCACATTTTTCTTTTGAACAATTAAAAGTATAAGCTTTTTGCATGATTTTAGGACTGCCTTCTAAGCCATAAAACAATAGTCTGAAGTTGTTCTGAATTAGGTTTTCTAACCATCCTTTGGTTTACCGATAGATCATTGTAAAGGTCCTATAATCATGCGTTTGAAGACTTTCAAAGTCACCTATGTGCAAATATGGTAGATGCCTTTAGAACTATGTGGGTATTCATTTGTTATGAAATATAGTTTTGTTATTCCAGCACCCAAAAAAAAACATGTAAAAAAAAAATAACCCTTGCCTTCGAAGCAAAGCCGCACTTTTTATTTTGCCATATCATGCCACTTCTGAAGACTCTAAGGCTACATTCACACTGCAGCCTGAAGTGACCCAAATCCGATTTTTCGGCCCATATGAGACCTGATCTTTTCAGATGAGACCTGTGTCTGAACGAGCAGGTCACATTCATTATTCATATACCTGACAGTGATCCCTATTCTGCATCTTGCTACGCAGAAGTGGCAAGAAAAACAACAACCATGGCAGATGACGACACGGACAGCAGTATTTATGTTTAACCATATTGAAAAGATTGAGTTTTTATGGAAAAGATTGCTAGATGCGCACAGGCACTACCATCCATGTTCACTTCTGTAAACACAGAGCACGCTGGCTTGTGACGTCATTGGGTCCTCTACTGAGCATGCGGGACACTTGCGTTGTATGAATGCAGTTCATACTGTACAGGAGATCATGTACAAGTCGCATATATTTGGAAATATGAACGGCAGCGCAAAAAAAAAACAACTATTTCACAAAAAAAAAAAATCAGAATTGAGCATTAAGGCCTGCAGTGTGAACTTAGCCCAAGTTAGACAACTCTCACTGCCACAAAGCAGATTTCATGACATTGTCTACAAAAGTAAAGCTGCTGATCTATACAATTGAGATGCTAAAAGAGCCACTTTGCCTCAACGTGATCATCATGTTCTGCCTCACATCACCCGTCCATTATCAGAGAAAGTTGGCATTTGTTTACAGAGATGGCACAGCGCTGTTAAGGCCGGTGCTTCCCTGGAATAGCCCTCTTATATAGATATATTTTTCAGTTTATCAGGACAGAGGAGCTGCTGCTCAGAAAGAAGAACAAATGAGGATTACTCCAAGTTGCTTGAAAAAAGCGAAATACCACTTTTTGCATGATTTTGATGGAATAGCATTATAATACAGTTAAAATGCTCTAAAGACTTGTTTTTGCATGATATAGGCCCTTTGGTCCATGAAGCCAACAAAAAAAAAAATCTCTTTGCCTTCATCCAAACAGAAAGCTATAATAAGAAGTCAGACATGATCATTTAATACCTAACCCTTCAGAAAACTGGAGAAGAATCCAAGACCTCAGGACTCATTGGACCTGCTCACAGACGGATGACAGTTCCTACCTGAGAGAAGCAGGCTGTGGACGCTGCGTGAGGGTCTCAGCAACATGGCGGGGCTCTGAGGAAGGCTTTTACTCACGATGGGGTAAAGCTTGTTGTAAATGCTGTACTGATGCTTCCTCAGGAGCTTCACCAGTGGATGGTCCGATTGGCTAAGGATAGACAGAAACTGGTAAGGATCACTCTGCTCGGCCATAAATTGTTTAAACGTTTGTTTTTGTAAACTTCATCACACCAAATAATTTGTGATTCAGGGTGAATAAGTCATAAGATGGGGTAGTTGGACATCCTAATAGTGGTTAATCCTTATATGCTGTCAAAACGGTTGCTTTCTATCAGACTCCTCTGTTAATTTTTTTTACCATCTATGTTGTATTGGAAAAGGAGAGGAATTAGAAACTGGTCAACCAAAAAAAAAACAAAAAGACATTTTGAACCAAGTCAGCTCTATTTCTGGACCAGGCAAATTTTAATGGGTAAATTCCCATATTCCCGTAGTAATGGCATATTACAATAAAAAAAAACCTGATTTAGCCAAGCTTATAAACTAAGCCAGTTTGAAACATCCCTTTGCTCATATCTTTCTGCTCCTCAATACCATTCTTTTTTACTTTATTTAGCTCCAGATTCACACCAACGGTCATCTCAAGACACTAAGAAATGTGGGAGATTTTCTCTGCTTTAAGACAGCAGTATGATTTTATAATGCCTTATAAACACGTTTCCCAGGGGTATAAATAATCAGTGTGGTTACATAATGTAGAAGGTAAACAATGAGGCATATGCTCCTTCCCAAACCAGCAGTCTGACTTCAGTGCTTTGGCAGCAACCAGGAGTCGATCTAAGATCTAAAGCTAACAAAATGTGAGAGCTAAAATGTCTGGACTGTCAGGCGGTGATAGGAAGACTGTTAAGGCAACTCTCTCTTGACCTTTGACACTTACAATCCTTCTGGTTTAATGACGTTCAAAGACATCAATTAATCAAATAACAAAATCAAACGTAATGGCTGCATACGATAGATAAAAGCTAACACTGCCGTAGGTTTAAAACCATCTGAAGTGTAGGTTATTGCAGTTCCCAAAGCATGAGCCTTCCTGTTCCTCAACCTCAGCTCAATGAAAGCAGGAGGCAAAGGTTAGTTAGTTCAACAGTTATTGACGGCGTTATTTTCAAGGCCTGCTAATGATTCGGGATTCGGCTCCAGACCAGGACTCCTCAATATAGGATCCTGAATGGTGAGCAGGAACCTGAAAATCAAGTCTTCAGACCTCCTCCATGTAGAACCAACATCTGCGTTTCCATCTCAGAAAACATTTCTTGTGCATCAATCTGTCTTACAGTGGGTCTGAAGAACCTCCTGACTGAAGACACTCTGTATTTGTACGATTTTCTGAAGATAATGATGCTCAGGACTGTCGTTCACTTTATTAAGAATTATTCTTTCTTAAATCAACTCTGCAAATTCTAGAGGAGTTCCTAGAACAAATACATTGAGCTTTTCAAGTCATTTGAAGTTACCCTGCAGATGATGGAAGAAGAGCTCACACTCTCCACAACAGACATAGATGTGGTTGCAAACATTGAAGGACCTAGGCTTCTTTGTGAAGTACAGTCTGTTTGTTCTCTTCTTGTAGATGAATGCACAGTTGCATCTCCAGTCAAGCTTATTGTCCAGGTGCAAACTGATGTATCTATACTCCATCACAACCTTTATTTCCTCTCCCATTATTTTAAATGCACTCAACTTGTTCCCATTTCTTCTGAGATCTACAATCATCTCCTTGTTTTGTTAACATTCAGGATCAGATGATCGTTTTCATGTTATGCAACAAAGCAGTTCACCAGCTCCCTGCACTCTGCAGTCGATATGGACAAGACGCTGAGTATTTCTACAGATGACAGGACTCTGGTACTGAAAGTCAGAGGTGTACAGAGGAAAAAGGAAGGCAGCGAGTACAGTCCAGTCTTTTAAACCATCTACAGTCCAGTCCCTCCTCTACTAGACTTCTTGATTAGACAGCTGACCCTTCAGTTTCAAACTGTGGTCTTGTCAGGTAGTTTTTGGATCCAGGTGATTGTTGATGCCTCCACTTGAGTCTTCTGGAGTTTCTCACAAAGTAAGAAAGGCTGAATTGTGTTAAATGCACTGGAGAAATCTACAAACATGATCTTCACTGTGCTGTTTGCCTCATCTAAATGACAGGGCATGTTGAAGCAGGTGTATGATGGCATCTTCCACTCCAATGCATGGAGTCCTGATAGCTGCTTAATTGTCTGCTCAGGTGAACCGACAGAAGTCCTCCAGGACCTTGATGATGAGGGATGCAAGAGAAACTGGTCTATGGTCATTAAGGACTGTTTGAGTTTTCTTTGGTACTGGAACAAGGCATTGCAAAGAATTTCCTCGTTAGCGCCCCCTTCAGTTCTAGAGGCCTCATTTTCATCAGTAGTAAGAGTCTGCTCTAAGTCTTTCAGTAAAGAGCATCAGTGCTGTTATTCTGGTCCAGTTTACTTTTCAGGTGAACACCCTGTCCTCCATCTGGGATTCCATGAGCTTCGGAGGGCAGTCTAGATAACCTGCCCAAGCTTCACACCCAAAACAGACAAACTAAACAGATAGACACAGAGGTTCTTAGAAATACACCAAACCTTAAAAAAATTATTTGATTAATTTTAAGCTGCACTTCAGTTTTTATCCCAGTCTAGAGGAACTGAGCCACACTGACAAAACCCTAAAGGTTATTCTGATCACAGTGCTGCAAATATTTACCTCAGCAAGTAGGAGAGGAAATCTAACACCAACGAGGAATCAGGGTTCTTCTTTATGCTGGCTCTCCACTGTTTGGGCCAATCCTAAAAGAACAAATTATTCCATTACATAAATAATTCATTGCTTCCAAACTGCAACTTTTTAAGAAGATACTATAAATTTAGCTTAAGATCCTATAGCCTGATAAATGCTAAAGATGGCTTCAAACTCAGCAGTATTCTGGTTTTGCAGCTACTAATAATTATAGTAAAATAAAAAAAAATTGTGTGGTGTGAATCAGAAACACTAACACATTGTCGCCTGCTGAGTTCAGTTTCTTCAATTAAAGCATTATGTGTGATAACTTAATTCTTTGGTACAAAGTAAACTGCCATAAGTTATGGGTTAGTTCTAGAAACTCATTAACATTACTTAGTTTAGGGGTAAATAATTGTTCTCATGGTCGAATTTGGGTGACTGATTTTTTTCCTTTATAAATGAGATAATTTGTAAACAACTGTTTATACTACTTCAGATTGTCTGATATGAAACATTTTGAGAGACAAAGGTCAAGGTAAGACGGTTAATGGTTATTCACATCACTTGATAAACCAGCCACCAGTAGAGATACACCAATCCAATTTTACCCAGTCTAATACCAATTCCTGGGCTGAGGTTATTGGCCGATACAAGATACCGATACCACTGTTGAATAAAGGATTTGTGTACCATGCCATGCGAGTTAGAGCATCAGGCTTAACATTTAAATTGTTAAAAAAAAAAAAAAAAAAAGGGGAAAAAAGTTAAATATAAATAACAGATAGATCATCACTAACTGCTTTGCTCTTCCTTATGACAAAACCAGTGTTTTGTAAACACAGCATTTAAGTGACCAGATTGCTGTAACTGTATTATTTTGAATGATATTAATAAAAACTTGAAACAAAAAGATTGGCATCATTCATCCAACTCCGCTAATTATTTAATATCGGAGCTGATATGGAGTCAGTGTATCGGAACAATGCACTTCTAGTAGAGCAAGATGAAACTGGTCAAATTTTCCATTTAATTTTTGGCAAAATCGGATAAAAAAAAAAAAAGAAAGATTAATGGGATTTGGTAGGAGGACAAAAAAATATTAAGGGCTTACAATTTTTTTAAAGTTTTTTTAATAAATCGATTAGCCCTAATATCTAGTCACCAGACAAAACATTAAATTGTTCTTTTATTCAATGAGTTAAAGAGGTCGACTGTAAAACACAAGAGGAAGCTAGAGAGCATCTTTAGCAACATTAAATCCAGATTTATGCTACTTTCAGACCGCAAGTGTAGGAAGAAGCAAAAAAAAAAGCGCCTGCTGCTTCAGTTTGATGCTTGTATATATAAAAAGGTCTGACACGCCTCAAGTGCATCTTTGACGCTCCTGAAGTGTGTCCAGTAAAGTGTGTACAGATGCGTCCGATGCTTCTGCTGCCCCTGTGTTCTATGGCAGAGAGCAGCTTTGCTATATTTGCTGTGATCAGTGGGTAAAAAGTAGTTTTAAGATGTTTTAAGTGAGAATTTCCACCTCAAAACTTTATCTGTGCAATCAGTTAAAGATTACGATCCAACCTTCAAATATTATTTCACTGTCGGACTAGCACGAAACCCCTGTACACCGGCAGTGCACTGTCACTGTAAATCCCGTTCAACAGCAGCCTCTGGCCTGGTTGCCTCTTGGGGGTTTTGAGCTACTGTTCAGGGTGGCTGGAAGGAGATGTTAGCATTTTTCATGTGCGTAATACAAACTGCAGGCACCAGAATAATAAAAGCAAACATATTTTGCCAGTAGGTTTTGGTTTTAGAGGCGTGATCATGGTGCTCTGCATCAGCAGTGCTGTGTCCGTCTCCCTGCCAGCCTCAGACCAGCTTCTCAGATTGGTTGATGTGGCGTGTCGAGCAGCAAAATTTAAATTTTTTAAACTCCAGCAGCTGCTGCTTGTGAAGCGCATCCAACACCTAACATGTTTAGGAGCTCATGAAGCTTTGCTTTGATGCGTCAAGATGCACTGCTCCTGCTGCTCAAAGTGTGTTGCAGGACTTTTTGATGCACACCAACCATTGAATTTGCATGTAAACCAGCTGCATCTGCTTTACAGCAGCGTGCGGTCTGAAAGTAGCATTACTCTGAGCAAGGCAAAACTTCACTGCCCACACATTATTCCAGTATGTTTATATTTAACTAATCAAATTTGTCCCCTGATCTTCACCATGTCAGATTTGCAGCCTTTGGGTCACTCACATGATCCTGCTCATATTCCAGTACATTAGCATAGAGAAGGCGCTGCTCCTGCTCGTCTGCAGTCATGGCTCCGGATGCAGCAAACCTCCTGTTAAGACAAACACACTGCAGGATTTAGATCAACTTTTATGCACAAACTCTCCATACTAAGGATTTTAATCACATTAAATGCAGAAGACTGGTCATGTTTTGTCACAGTGGAAATGTCAATTTCAATTATCTCCTTGGTTTAGAATGTCAATAAAAGCTTGGATATAAATTAATGCAGTAATGGGATTCATTAATATTCAGCTTTTAGTAAAAAAAAAGAAAAAAAAAAAAGAAAATAAGTTTGGGTGAAATAAACACAAAAACAAATAAGACATCAAGCTATGCTTTTGGTCTATTGACACTAAATATTTTTAAAACATGAAACTCCACAGATTAAACAGAGAGGTTTGCTTTATAAGTGCAGACGAAAACAAACAGATAACAGGGCTGATGTATTTTAGGGCGCCCTTTGGAGCCCAGACGGAGTACTCAATGATCTGAGCTTTCTGGACAGATTAAACCACGAGGCAGGGAATGTCAAAACATTGCAACTGATAACAGCTAGACAGATGCATGAGAACAGACTGGCAGCCAATCAGAGAATCCTTAAGCAAAGCTCTGCAGCTGGCCTATATAAGGACTCCAGAGGAACCACTTTACCAAGAGGTGAAGGAGACCTTCACTCTGCACTTCATTTATAGTTTTCATGAGTTTACCTGTTAGCTTCTTCTTGTAGCCGTAGCCTCCTTTCCTCCATCTTCCTCTGAAGCTGGTGTTAAAAGTTTAGGAAAAAAAAAAAACACTCTAAAGTGGTGAATATGATGTCAGATAACAGGAGAAGCAGACTAAGCAAAACCTCAGGATACACTCATACGGTTGGTTTAATCCACACCCTGACTAGTCAGAGATTCTCTTCTGGCCAACAGGCACCTGCTCCAGGTCAGACCTTTTCTCACCATCTAATGGTATCTAGATCTTTCTAATACGTACTTCTTAGCCAAGCCTGTTTACAAGCAGATTTTGATGTGAACAATATCCAAACACCAACAAGACACATTTGACTGTTAAGTTTTTCTTGAAAAAAAAAAAAAAAAAATCTGTAAAAATATCTAAATTTCTAAAATATTTTATATCTGAACATTTATAGATTTTACCAGGTTGTACATTCGGCCACAGACTGGCCATCAATCAATGGAAGCTCCCAAAAGGATACAGCATCCTGTCTGGCTTTGGCTATGATGATGTTCTCCATCATCTGTCGCTGCAGAGAAAGCGTCTGGATCAGAAAGATTAAGGAGACAAATATTTAAAGACTTTAAAAAGGTTCAGATTGTTGCTAAAAAACATCACCTTTCACATAAGGTTCACTTGTATATTTAAAACAAAAAACAGGAGTCATAGCAGGCATATTTCTATAAACCTTTATTAACATTAAAACTGACAAAAAAAATTGATAGTTTGGCAAACAGACATCCACATAAATACATTCTTCACAACATTAGTATAAAAAAGAAAACTAGTCTGTACAGTGCAGGATGGAAAACAAAGATCTGTCAACTTTGGAGGCTTAAAACAAAAATTCAGATAGAGGTCCAGTCTGCTGCCAGGTTTCAAATCAAAGAGTGAAAAACAAGATTAAGCAGTCCTTCAAAACGTAGATAACCTGGCCACAGTCCACAAAAAAATATTTCAAACACTTCAAAACTTCAAAAGCATTGGGTCCAGGTACAAAGCTACCGAGCAGCAGTGCTATGGTCTAATTCAATTAAAAGGCATACACAGTAACATGCCAACCCTGTAAAAATCATAATCACTGAAGTTTAAGAAAAGACAGGTCAAGGATAAAACAAATAAAGACTTAAACAGTGAGACAGAGAGGGTGGAACAGGACCCCAAATATTAAACAATTAGCCTTGACTGCATTCATCATAAGCTTTCCAAACAGTCATGACACAAGAACAAACCCCTCAGTCCCTCCTGTCAAATAACCAGGAAAATATTAATATTTTGCTCCTCCATCAGGAATGGGATCCTAAATACCAACAAGTTTGTATAATCCTGCAAATTTATAGAAGTTATCAAACCAACGGGCTGAGCGGAGTTTGGAGGAAGATAGAAGCTCACGACAGACAAGTTTCCCATCATTTTATTAGCAGCAACACCTGATTTTATAACCAAGTGCTCGGCTTACACAAGTTTCCACGTCTGGTTGCTCACTGGACTTGAACATATCAAGTCCTTCTTAAAAAATAAAACATGCAGAAGAATTTAATAGTGGAGTGCCCTGGAGAACTTCTGCAGCAGATCAAGTGTTAGGTCTGGAAATCCTTAAAAGCTCCTTAATATCTTTTGCATTCTTAATTCATTTCTATTATAAGCCCCCCTTCCCCCCCAAACATGGTAGGACAACAAAAGGCACATTTAAAGCATTTTTGTAGAAATGATCAAACTTCTCTTTAGTTTCATGGTCCAACCAGAACAGTTTTCAATTCAACCTTTAAAATCCAAACTGGATGATTGAGAAGTTTTCAACGAGTTGAAGCAAACAAAAAAAAGAAGAGATTACAAAATTAGCATATTTTAGCATCACAATAGAAGTCTCTTAAAGAGAAACATCTAATAGAAAAGTTGATCAATGCCAGCAATTAATTAACTTAAAGACAAACCAATAAAAGGCAATAAAAAAATCTTTATTATGAATATATATATATTTTTTTATTTCCAGTATTTTTCCAGCAATCGAACCACAAACTGAAGAGTAATTTGCCATCAAACTGCCTCCTTCCTTTACTCCTCTAATTTAAAAAGAGTTGATTCTAGAGGGAGAGAGACCAAACTAAAAGGCTGGAGATTCATCTGGACAAGGAGAGGCTGTGGATCAAAGATCTCCGGATGGAAACACTTTTCATGTTTCATGTGTTTGGGGGAGAAAACATACCTGTCCGCCTGGAGCTAAGCAGCTAACACCAGGTTAGCTTACACCACTTTACCTTTACAAACGCCTTCAGTTTCCTCCAATACGGCCGGAGCTCCACTTGCTGCCGAAACATTTTCCTTATCTAAATTGGAAATTAAAATTAATTTTAAAATTTCTAAGAAAGAAAAATAGAAAAAACCGGCAGAAATCTAAAAGGTGAGGTGGGGAGAAATTTGGCGGACCGGTTTTGGTAAACGGTCGGCTCACCATATTTTCTCTTCGGACGCTGAGAGCGTTTTTCAGTCATCAGACGAAGGAGGACTGGAGAAACTTCTGGTTTATCTGGAGCCCAGAGTCGCAGATAAAAACAGTGAGCCCGCCCTTTACTACTACAACTTTGATTATTTACACAGCTGACGCTGACACCGAACCGGAACAACTGATGAGTTTCAAAATAAAATACCGGAAGTAGTTCTGAGCGAGAAATCCATCTTGATGCACCCCAACAATTGAGGGTGTGTGGACCCCTGTGGAGGACCAATCCTGCCATAATTAAAAATAAATATAGAAATAAATGAATGCTCCAAAAATAAATAAGCATACAATTAATTGCCCCCAAAAATACAATAAACAAATAAATGTAGGTAGAAATTAAATTATACAGTGAAACATAAATATATATATATCTTTTTTAATTAGCTTATTTGTTTATTTGCCTTTGTAATAATTACCTTATTTATATATCCGTTATATTCTTCACCTTTAATTATTTATCAATTATTTCTTTAAGTATTTATTTATGTGCATGTAATAATATTTTTGTCTGGTTTATTCTTCCTTTGTATTTTTTTACTCTATTTATTTCTTCCATGCTATTTATTTCTGCCTGTTGTTTTTACATTTCTGTTTTTACATTATGCATTTCTGCCTCATTAGGCAAATGAGTAAGGGTGTGTCCTAGACGGTCAAGTTCTGCTCATTGGTTGGTTAGCAGCCACCGGCCACAGTCACAACAAACATGGCTACCTACCATGAAGTGATCAGTGAGCTGAGGCATAATTTAATTTCTACCTACATTTATTTGTTTATTGTATTTTTGGGGGCAATTAATTGTATGCTTATTTATGTTTGGAGCTTTTATTTATTTCTGTTTTTATTTTTAATTATGACAGGATTGGTCCTCCATAGCCTCAGACCAAGGAGGTCAGTCTAACCCAGGGGCCTCAGCAGACCCAATACTATAAAGGGGCACAATAGGGCACAAAAAAAAGAAATGCGAGTGCTTAAACCAGCGAACTACAATTTTTTTTGGCATCTATTTATTTAAAAAAAGCATGGGCACAGATGATTAATGCAAGCACGTGAGCAAAAATTTTATAGCACTTATTCATTATTATAAAGTGTCATAAATAAATTGTACAATCACACTGTTATTTTCTGCATCATTAAATATCTACCTAACCCAAACTGAATTGAATTGGTCCAATTGTGAACTTAACTGTATATCTCTGATCCACTACTGATGAAGGCACAATTTATCTTCGTTAAATATCAGTCAGCAAACATAAAACTGAAAACTTGAAATGTACAACTGTAAAAGGAAAAAACAAAAGAAACACCTCTTACATGTCTGTGTTTATCATTTCTATTTTGGTCCATCCTATGATGGTGATGATCCTTTGAGGTGTGTATATCATGGCCAGAAAGATGGAAGAGCTGGATGTTTTCTTTTTTAACAGTAAACGGTAGCATCTCCGCTTCATTTTTGCGAAGCTGTCGATCACTTGTGACTGGCTTAATTTGGAGAGTTCTCCTCTCTCAACTCCGCTTTCAGAGCGGAAAATTCATTCATTAAAAAAAATAAATAAAATCACTGTCCCAGGCAACCCAGGCACTGCAGATCCACAACGGGGAGTGCATGGGTGAAAAGGGTCTGCCGACGCCGATGGTTGTAACCTCTGGTTATTTAGGACTCAATAAAATATATTAAAGTTGTGTTTTACACTTACAAGGAAATTGTTTTGGTGATGAGTTGCTGCACACAGACTGGTAAACGTACAGTTGTCATAAATAAAAATGGAAAGTTGCACTGGACGATGGGGGAGGTTGGAGCTGTGCTCCTTCTAAAGTCTATGACAATCTCCATTATTTTTGGGGTGTTGAACTCCACACTGTTGTTGCTGCACCAGATGATCAATCTCCAAGCTGCAGGCAGACACATCCCTGTCAGAGATGAGTCCAATGCTGGTATCATCTGCAAACTTTAGGAGTTTGATGGAACAATCACTGAATATGCAGCTGGTTGATGTACAGCAAAAGAGACGACGGGAAAGAACACAGCCTAAAGGGGAACCAGTACTGATGGTTCTAGACTCATTTTCGCATCTTTATGTTGCATTTCTCTGTCAGGAAGTTTGTACAGCTTCTAAGCATCCTCCTCGCTAGTCTCTGTCCCCTATCCTAAATGCCTACTCGTTTTCCAACCGTAGCTGTCCGAATTTGGTTGTGAACTGGAGTTTATCATTGTGATAACTCCCCTTGGTGTGTGTTGGTTTACACCTGATGAAGAATGGCATATAATCTGTAAACTCATCCAGATTGTCAGTAGCAGTCCTGAAAACATTCATTGCAGTCTAAACGCGCCTGAAAATCCCTAACAACTTCACTTGTCCACTTCTTTGATGTTTTCACCACAGGCATACAGAGTTTTTTTTATTTTCAGACATCTCATAGGAAAGTGAAATGCTTTGCAGTAATGATAAAATACTCCAGATTAGGTAGGTTGTTCTTCTGCATCATTATGTTGGTGCAGCAGCTGTGGTTAATAAAAAAACGGATATCTCCGTCTTTGCCGGAGAATGTCGCTGTCTAGTCAGAGTCTGGTATGACTTCAGACAACCAGGTTTCCATAAAGCGTAGGGCAGAGATGAATAAAAGTCACAGACTTTTCCCACCAGTAGCTGCAGTTTTTCCAGGGTGTGCAAAATGGAGAGAAATATCGTAGACAGCGTTATGTGGAAACCCCTCCAGAAGAGATGCAAGACTCACAGCTGGTAATCACTCCAGCCTCGTAGCCAGTCAGCCTGCTCTCCGCACCTCTAATCTAATGCGGTCCTCCACTGGGGAATAAAAAAGGCACTTCTTCTTCTACAAAGTGCTGATGCGATTCTTTATCCAGTCCCCTAGATGGCGTCAGGTTCCATGTGTTGGGCTCATGCTCTGTCCTTCATCCTCCAGACTCACAGAATTTGGGTTTCCATCGGCACCGCCCCTTTGCTACGTTTTTTGATGCCACCTCATGACTATAGAGCAGTTATTCTAAGTAAAGCTATTCGGCTTTGTGACATTCACGATTTTCTGGTTTCAAAAAAGGTGATATCAACAAGCTAACTCAACTCTAAAATAAGTCAGCCCAGATTTCATTGTAAGCTTGAGGAATGGAAGGCAGAAATCCAAAATGGAATTAAAAAAAAGCATCAAAAGTCCACATTTTACACAAATGGAACTTAAAAAAAAAATAAAAAAAGAAATATGCTAAAAGAGGTAATGCTGCTTCTATACAGAAGAGCTATATTTGTATATATTTTATCTTTTTATTTTTATCTTTATTTTCATGTGTAGTTGGATGTGTATATATAAAACTGTAACTGGAGCGTGTAACAAAAGCAATTTCCCTCTGGGATTATTAAAGTAATTCTGATTCTGATTCTGCGTCACAATGAGGAGATTAAGCGTGGACCACTCAATGCATGAGTGGGATTTGATAGAGAATTGAAGTTACATTTGCAACATTTATTCAACATAAAAAAAAAAAAAATGTAATAAACTATACGTATATGTGTTAATGGCCATAAAATGTGAGTCTAGGTTTAACCCCAGCAGGAACATAGCAGTACCTTTTAAACCTTTACCAACTACACAACATTTGTTGGCTTTATTTGACAAATGCATTTATTATTATACAGAACCTTACATACAGCAGAAATGTATATTTTCTATGTATGGTACCTAAAGTTCCATGGACAATAGCTGTATGAGGTGTATTCACAAGAAGACATGTTAAAAACCTAAAAATAATAAAAAAGGGCTTAAAAGGCTTCTAATTATGCATGAAAACCCCAAAATATATGAATAGATATTGCTTAAAATGTATAATTTTATCCCAACCCTTTTACTGCCTTCCCTGATACCTGGAGTGAGGAAAACCGTGCAGCTGTGGTGGCAGGAGGTAACTGGGTGGATCAAATTTCTCCACAAATGTTTATGGAGCTTTCCTGTCTGCAAAGCTTTGCTGTAAATTATAATAGAACATAATCTAAGCTAAAATAGAATAAACTCCAGTCTAGGTTGAAACCCCCATGTTATGCACATCAGGTAGAGATACTCTCCTCTCTGCCAAAGGAGACTGATGATACTTAACAGAAACTATGATTGATCTGATGAGTATTAGCTGCTTGGTAACTATTTAATAATAAATCCCTAAGGCAAAGAAATAACTTGCTATCATTGGGTTTTACCAATCTGTGGATAAAATTTTATCGAGATAACTTTTTGACAAAAATGGTGATGCCCAGAAATATATGCATTAAAGTGCATTTAATCGCACAGAGCATATATGAGCATCTGCTCTCTAACATCTACATGCTACTGCAGTAAAAGACACCATTCCTAAAGTCTTTCTGATCTCCATTTAAATGGGCGACATACTGAGGATTACTTCCAGAAATCCTGCTAAAAAACAGCTGTTTCACTGAGTAACTTGGGGGATTATTTTCTGGCATAATGGCTAGCTGGCCTTATGAAACTGAAAATCCAGAATATGCAAAGATAGATCTATCTCCAAACTTACTCTGCATTCTGACTTATTCCACTTTCTGAAATGAGGCCCTGGTCTTGACTGATGTAGCCATTATTTGGCTAATTAGGTCCAATAGTTGTATAGAAGCATGTGGATAATATGTTGTCAAGTTATTAACTTTAAAAAGATGATCCACGTTGTTATAAAGGGTTAGGTTATAGTAGATCTGTCATAACTGGTAACTAAGCAGCTGGTTCTACTTCAACTCAGCTTATATTTTCTTCACAAACTCTGCAAACTTACCAAAGACGTCTTCTGGTAGACCTGACCAGGGGTGAGCCTTGCCACACGGGCCTCATAGCTGGCCCTCAGCTTCTGGTTTAAACGTGATGCTTCTTCAATTGGTGTCAGATCCCTACAAACCAGGCACAATTAGACAAACATCGATGTGATGGTGGACTTCAGCTGTTCAGTCTTTAAGAAAGAATAACTGAAGTTCAAATCTGAAGAACATATTAATAACACTGCTGTCAACATGCCAGGATCAGCCATAATCAGAATCAGAATCAGAAATACTTTAATAATCCCAGAGGGAAATTACTATGTAATTATATTGGCAATGTGAAAACATAAGTAAAAAGTACATTAGAAACACACAGATTAACAATCAGAAAAGCATCAGAAAAAACCCCCCAAAAAGCATAAACACGAGACAAAAGAAATGGGTCTAACTCTACATCAATGTTGACAAGTCTGGTTATCAATAAACTGTTGGTTTAGCCGCATCTTAAAGGTGTTATATTTGTTTTAATTCCTTATGACCATAAAGATGAGATGTAATTCAGTAGCAGCTCCAACAGAAAAAGCAGTTTGGCAGAATCCACTTTTCCTAAAGTGAATAGATGTTTAACACATTAGTGGTGAGGAGGAGATGATAAACCATGCATCATTTTATAGATAAGATAACAGTACACATTTGTTGTCTTATCCAGATTTTGTATAGTTTGTTTACTGATTGTGGGGAAATGCTGAACATTCTAGCAAACTGATCTACCAGTTGGACCTTCTCTATGAGGTTTCTACTCTCTATCTAAATAATCTGAACCACTTAAGAAGTTCTTAATGTTTTCAAGCTGAGGATGATTAATTCATCAACGACATCAAAAATCCAATGGATTCTTTTTACATATAGAGTCGGGGAATTTCATTGATTCATTGATATTAGTTTTGGCGCTACAATCTATCAACAAATGACCTTACTTTTTGCATGACTCCTCAGAGACCACAGCTTGCAATCTCTGGAAGACTTCAGGAGGAGGAAACGGGGAGAGCTCTCCGCCACCATCTGACAAAACTCGGCGGTGGCCGGACTTTGTGTAGCCGCCCACTTGGGGAGGTGCGTCCAAATGACTATCAGTAGCTGTGACATGGACAGACAGCAGAACAATAAAAAAAAATAAATAAATAAAAAAGAGAGGTTAATTTAACTGGATTTTCTGTAGGAAGGTTAAAAAGAGCAGAGTGGTTATAAAATAGATGCCTCTAATTGGATGAAAAGCTCCTCACCAGTGTTTACAGATGTAGGACCAGCCTCTGTCTGAAAAGGCTCTAATTGGCCGGCTGACGCACAGCAGGTGGAGGTGGAAGGGTCAGGAGGCTCAGAGCGCTTCGCTAAGAACGACTTGGCTCGCTCCAGACACTGCTCAGCCAGCCTCAACATCCGCTCCACCTCTACAGCAACCATCTCGTTCTTCTCTGGAAGATGGAAACACAATGAGAGCGGATCCAGTTAGCCTCTGGAACAGTATTAATACAGCTGCATAGCAGTACCTCAAAATATCATTGAAAAGGGTGAATTATTTTAGTAATTCTAGTTTAAAAAAAGCAATCGGATGTTTTAAAAATGTGTTTGTCACAGAATGGAATGTAGCTGATTTTTATTTTCATCTGGTTTCCAGCTTAATAACAAAACAAAATGCCTCTGAAAGTTACATTATTCCAGCAAATGAATAAAACAATTCAATTCAAAAAATACTTTATTAATCCCAAAAAGAAATTACATGTAGAAACCCATGGACTTAAAAACAAGTTTCTATGAATGTTAATAGTTGTAGGCAGGATGTCGTAATGATCTTTTATTGTGATCTGTTTAGCACCAGATCTGGAGAAGCTTTGACTGAAGACACTGTGTTGTTGTTTTTACAGTCTTCTGATGAGGACTCTCACTAAATATTCTGCATTTTATGAAGAATCTGAAGGATTGTTACATAGAAATATGGAGCTAAACTCCTCTGCTGGTTCGGTTCGGTTCTACTGGACACCATGCATCTAGGCTGGGGCTTGGATTCATGTATTAACAAAGGGTAGGACAGAGGAGATCCGACTCTGGTTCTTCCCAGGTCGCTTCATTTGCATAACCCTGATGGTTCCTGAGAGTTCCCGAGGATGTTGCATTCTAATATTTTTAGTTCCTGGTTCACACTTGTGTCCACTAGGTGGCACATTTGGATCCAGTTTCTGTATGGGTGTAAAAATCCAGATTTAGTTAGAAATGTTCTCAGACAGCATCTCCTCGTTGCAGCATGTTGCATTAGGGTGCAGAATGTCTCTGTAAACAGTCTGATACTCCAGAGTCATTTCTAGACTGCAAGATATGATGAAAGGTGCATCTTTTTGACCGCACTGTTAAAACCCCTTTAAATCAAGAGATCAGTAAAAATATATTTTTTAGAGAAGGTAAAGAGTTAAGGGCAATTTTTGCATTATAACTTCGAATTTGATTTTGGATTTTTCATTTTCAATATCACTGAATAAATCAAAAAGATAAATATACTTTCAAAAGCCGTGTTTTGTTCCCTCACTCTTAAAAACAAGTAAGGGAACATAAGATCCTGAACTGAGAAAGTGTGCCTTCCAGAAATCTGTGCAGATTAAAAGGGAAAAATACTCACTAGCAAACAACATTGGTGCCCAGCATGGAAAGTTTTGTTCTACATTTGTTTACCTGAAACATATCAAATGTTCTATTTTGTATGCAACAAAATGAGTGAGGCTCACCTTCTTCCAAAAGAGCATGTGATATATAGTTGATGGTCCGCAGGTACTCATAGTACGCCTCCTGTAGAGAAACAACAGTCAGTTAAAAATTCAACATGTATAAATATACACACACGTATATATATATATATATATATATATATA